AAATGAATGTCAGAAAAGACTCTGAAATTTGCTCTCCAGCGTAGAGATGCTAAAATAAATGGAAGAAATGAGAAGCCTGAGAGCAGTGCAGGGCTGAGATTGGTGATATGGGTTTGGAATTAGGCAAAAGTAGGATCTAATGATAGCAAGCTCACTTACAGTCTATGTTATTTCAGCATAATTTCTCTGGACGTCAGATTTGTTTTTATAATACTTTCCTCATGAGCTGCAGCTTAGTATTTAACATTTAGTGCAGAGCATGGCATATACTAAAAACTCAAAAACAGGAAGCTGGTAGTGGTATATATCAGTAATACGAGTAGTAGCAAGGGCAGCAGCCGGAGGCCCAGCAATAGTAACAGAAACAAGAACAGAGATAATACTGACACAATAGCTCTGAAGGTAGGTGGTAGGAGGCACCAGTATGCAACCATGGATCCCAATAGGCACAGTGAAGCCGGTGGGCCAGGGAAGGGATAACTGCAGTGTGAGACACCATATCACTTGAGAAGAAACAGGCAGGGCGAAGATGCTACCAAGAGGACAGGGAGCCTACATCCCACCCCGCTTGCATACCCTCTTCTGAAAGTCCACTGATTTCCACCATTCCCAGGACTTAGTTCCTTTCCCCTTCCTTATGACCTCTTAGAGAACTATCATTCCTGGAACCTGAGACCTAGAGAACCATTTGATGGCATGTCAAAAGAGCCCAGTGAAAACACCCCAGGCTACAGTCCCCATACTGGGGCCTGCTGGAGAAGAAACTCTCTCCCCATTTTCTACCCAGAAGTTAGTTTGAACACAGAGCCCCCAGACTCAGAGTGAGGGTAGTTATGTGCCGAGGAGTAGGTTTCAACTCATAGCGACCTTGTACAGGGTTTCTGAGGCTGTAAATCTTTACAGGAGCAGAAATCCTCATCTTTCTCCCATGGAACAGCTGGTAGTTTCGAACTGCTGACTGTGAGATTAGCAGCCTGATTCATAACCACTACGCTACCAGAGTGAGGGTAGGCAAGGCTTTATTGGCTTAGTTCCAGGCATTTGGCATCAATGGGGGTGCTCCCAGCTGCTCCTGGGGTCTGCCTTGTCTGTCTTCTCTTGGTGGGTTTTCAGAAGCCTCAGAGTGTCTCAGCTGCTTTACTTCTTCTCAGGTCTCCCAACACAGGGACCATCCTGTATGGTAGACCCCATGCATAAAGTTGCAGGGGCCCATGACCCCTGGGGAGGGGCTGGAGAAGAGAAGATTCTGACAACAGATCTCACCCTGGGCCACGGAGGTTGCCACATAGGAGAGGAAACAGGCCTGAGTGTGTGTGCCAGCCCTGCTGGGGGAAGGGGCATCTCCATCCATGGTTAGGTGGCTTCAAACAGGTCATAGATCTAATGACTGTGGTTGGGCATGCTGTGGCTCTGGTGGCTTGGATGAGCCGGGTGGCTCTGGTGGCCATAGGGACTGTGGCCCTGGAAGGTGTGTGTCTGGTTCATGCCAGCTATGGTGTTCTCCTGCTGGGTGAGGAAACCCCCTTTCAGCTTCAACTCCACCTCCTCGAGGGTCTTCAACTCCTCCGGGTTGATGTCTTTGGCCTCCAGGTGGCCTGTGTGCTGACAAGCTGTGGCTCGTTGCAGCATGGAGTTTGCCAGCTGCCTCCCCTTGCAGTCAATCTCCTTGGTACAGGCAGCCACTGCGGCCCAGATGGCTTCATCTGTGGACGAGGATTTCCCAGACTCCTTGTGGGTCTCTTTGCTCACTGAGGACCCCGATGTCCGCTGCCTACTGGTGAAGGATTCCCGGTGGAGAGCGCTACCTCCCTCTCCATGCCGTGTGGTGAAGGTGTCCACTCGGATCCTGGTGCTGGCCTCTCCACTACCACTGTCCAGCTGGGGAGAAGCAGAGGCAGCATGGCTGCTGGCCTCCAGCTTCTCATCAGAAAGGCGGCTAAAGTGAGATTTGATCCAGTCTTCTTTATTGGCTTTGTGGGATCCTAGTGCCTCAAAGTTGTCTTCTACAGACTCAGCAATAATCTTCCTCCTCCTCTTCCTCTGAATCCACAGCATGAGGCCTCCACCTCCAAGCAAGAAGGCTGCCGCCAGCACCACCTTGCATGATGGTTGCTGGAGGAGCTCTAAGAAGGTCTCCAGGACCTCACCCCAGGCAGGCAGCGTTAAGAACACACTGGGAGTGGGGGAGCCCAGGTGGTCCAGCTCATACTTGAAAGGCAGGTTCCCCAGGGCTGGCTGGCAGGCAGACTCCCTCTGTCCTCTCCCTAGGTGGCACCTCCCACCTCAGCAGTGAGTCTCATTATGAGGAAAGCAGTTGGGGGTGGGGTGGAGTGAGGACAGCATCCCCTCACATCCTGCCTGGCAGGCATTGCCTGAGGCCTGGGTCTCTGGCTCCTACCTTGCCAGCTGTCCCCAAGGTCAATGGAATGACAGTGTCCCCAAATCTGAGTCTCTTCTGCCTTCTGCTTTGTGGTTCCTTTTGCAATTCCATCCTTCTTACCTTCTAGCCTTTGATTTCTCTCCCTCCCCACCTAGCAGCCCCCAGGGGACAATGGCTGTTGGGTAAGGATGGTTATGGCACTGTTGTTGTTGTTGTTGTCAGGTGCCGTCGAGTCGGAACCGACTCATAGCGACCCCATGCACAGCAGAACGAAACAATGCTCGATCCTGGGCCAACCTCACCACCGCTGCCACCCCCGAGTCCATCAATGATGCCACCTGGCTGATCCATCTCTTTGGGGGTCTTCCTCTTTTTCTCTGACCCTCCACCCTACCCAGCATGACATCCTTCTCCAACGATTGTTTCCTCCGGACTACATGTCCAAAGTATGAAAGACGAAGCTTAGCCATCCTGGCCTCCAAGGAGCACTCTGGCTGCACTTCTTCCAAAACAGATCTATTGGTTCTTTTGGCAGTCCATGGCAAACAGATCTATTGGTTCTTTTGGCGGTTATGGCACTATGACCCCTTATCTCTGCTGGTATCTATTCCCAAGCACCTGAGCAGGTGTCTCCCTCCAACTCAGACACTCTTCTGCTGCCTGCTCTTGTGTTCCCATTATCACTCACAGTCCCCTAGCACAATCCAGGACAGCATCCAGAAGGAAAGGGCCGCAGGAAGGAGTTTATTCCAGAATCCCATGAGATCACAATTGAGCGGGGTGCAGCCGTAGGCTGGGAAGGCAAAGCAGACAGGACAGGACTTCACTGGGTCCTGGATCCCTGGGGCCATTCCAGGGTGGAGACTGCTACCTCAACTGAGGCAAACCCAGAATGGGTCCTGGACAGATGGGTAAGGGTCAGGCTATGATGGAGCGGGGACCAGATGGCTTTCCAAAGGTGCAGAAAACTGAGACATGAACCCACGATCCTGAGTTATATATAGCCAAGGTCTCTTGAACAGAGGCCTGGACCACTATTGTTTTTCCCCTAGAAGCATCTGTTGTTGTTAACTACCGTAGAGTCGGTTCTGATTCATGGTGACCCTGCACAGGCTGTAAATCTTTACAGGAGCAGAACGCCTCATCTTTCTCCTGTGGAGCAGCTGGTAGTTTCGAACTGCTTAGAGGTTGGCAGCCCGAATCGTAACCACTATGCTACCAGAAGCATCTAGTATATTAAAAAAAGAAATACCAAATATAAAGTGGTAAAAATTGTGATTTTAAAACAATATTTGATTTAAAAAAGTAATTAAAAATAAGAATATTCTATCTTATCACAAGATATCATATTGAACTCTCCATACTGAGGTCATAAGACCCAAGTTTCAACTTTTATGGGAACATCACCACCCTGGTCCTGTTAAAGTATCTCTGTGGTCATCCTCATTTGGAAATAACAATTCAAAGTCCATTTTGGAGGCTGTTTATGAGAGTGAGCTCAGGGCCAAATGGGCTTCATGCAACAACCTTTCCTTCCCTCCTGTCTCTGGCTATAACTTTTATTTTAAATGAAACTTTATTTAAAATATCAATACAAATGAACGCTACTTAAAAAAAAAAAAAATTACACAGTCTCAGGCAACGCTTTCCAGAAGAATCTCTACCTATTCATGGATGAACAAGGGCAGGTTTCTGCTTCCCTTTTGGAAAACCTTTAACTTGCTGAAGGCCCTTGCAATCATTCCTTCCTCTGACCCCTGAGCAGGACTGCAAAGTCTACCCCAAGGGCCAGGATGATGTTAAGTGCCAGCAAGTTGGTTCCCACTCATAGCAGCTTCTGAGGCTGTATACATCTTTGTGGGTGTAGGAAAATTCATCTTTTCTCCCGCGGAGTGGCTGGTGGGCTCAAACCAATGATGGTGTGGTTCCCAATGCAGTGTTTATTGTACAGAGCCACTGCATTCCCCAAGGTCCAGTACAGACCAAGAGAAACACAGATTTTAGAGTTGAAGTTGCTCCCTGATTCTGGCTTCATCCTGGGAACCGACCCAATGGCTTTTAGATTCTGTCACTGCTTCATGCTTGACCTCCTGTGGCCAGAAGCGTGAAGGCTCAGTTTCCATTTTAAAAGGAGGAAACTGGAGTAGGGAGGTTAAGTACATTCTCCAAGGTCACTGTCTCTGGTGGAACCAGGATTCTTACCAGGTCTTCTAACTCCATGGGCTCTGTCTCTGTATGGGTGAGGAAGCAGTAACCTGTACTGTTTGCAAGGGAGACAGTCTGGTGGGCTCATGGGCACCACAGCTGCCAAATCTGCTGGAGACTGTGTTCCAGGGTACCCCCGTGCCAGTGTAGGTGGGAGGGGAAAACGGTCTCCATGGATACTCCACGTGGCTGGCAGACACCAGCTAACAAAGTCCACCCTACTACCCCCATGCTAGGATGCCCTTGAGGTTCAAGTAGACTTCTCTCAGAGGTCCAAGGAGCTTCTCACTTTGCTTCAAGAGACCCAGGCCTCAGCCCAAACCTTCAGGCCCCATGAGGTGAGCCCCAGTAGGATTTGTTGACATGTCCCTGCTCAGTGTGAGTGTCCACAGGACTTTCCTGGTGCCCCAGGAAAGGGTCACATCCCCACACTGCAGAGTTATGAACAGGGCCGCATCCAGGCCAGCAGTCACTACTGACACAAAGCAACTTTGCCCATGATGCCCAACTACACTGTCATTTTAGTAACTGTTACCACTGGGTTAATTAACCAAAAGGTTGGAGGTTCAAGTCCACCCACAGGCTTCACAATCTACTTCCCGCCCCCGCCCCCCAATCTACTTTTGAAAAATCAGCCACTGAAAGCTCTATGGAGTAGTTTTACTCTGACACACGACTCAGAAACACCTCCATGACAACTGGTTTTCACGTGACTCACTCTACACCATGCTTTGACTTGCATTCTTTCTCTTTTTTTTCTTTCAGCCTATTATTCCTGTGTGTCACATGGGGAAATGGCGATTTAGTGAGTTCACCCCACTGTTCAGTCAGGCAGAGCTGGGATTTGACCCCAGTGCCCAAGTTCTTAACTGCTACACTATACCGACTTGGTATAAGCCACTCTATCCTCAAAGCCAGTGCTGACCAGACTCTTTATTGAAAGGGCCTACCTAGTCTGGTCTAGCAACTCGGCCAGTATAATGAGGGTCAGCATGGTAGAGTGAAGCATGAATTGTGCAGCCAGACCTGGGTTCAAATCCCAGCTCAGTCATATATGAGCTGAGTGATCTTGGGCAAGTGTCCCTCTGAGCCTCAGATTCTCATCTGTGAAATGGAACCATTGAGAGTATCCCTCAGAGGCTATCCCTTCAGGGATGGGTAATTGGTGAGGACAGGGTAGGACAGGACAGACAGAATCCATCATTTCTTCTATATCCATTTACGGTGCCCGTGACTGTTGAATGTTGGATATCACAAATGTGATGTGATCCTGACCTCATTATGGGAGATTTGTTGTTATTAAGTGCTGTCAAGTTGGTTCTGACTCATAACGACCCTATATAGGGTTTCCAAGAAGCGGCTGGTGAGTTTGAACCACCGACCTTGCAGTCTAGTGCTTTATCCCACAGTTACACACCCAGACTCCAGAGAGAGGGCTACCCATGTGTAAAAGGAAGAAATGAATCAGATAACACTGATGCAAGGACCAGAACAGGGAGAATTCGGTCAGCGGAGGCATCACCCAGAACAGAGTGTGCAGGGTTTGGAGGGGAGTGAGGCTGCTGCTGTCCAGCCACCTTGTAAGACAGTGCCCGTGTCCAGCAGACAGGTCCTTCTTACCTTTGAAGGGAAAGGTTCCCAGTTTGTGCAGATTCTCCTCCAATTTCCCATAATTCACTTCTGCAGTGGCAGTGAAGGGGGTGGTCACTGGGGGGTAGATGCCTGAAATGTCCACCTTCTTCCCCTCCCCTGATGCTCGGCTCCCCACTGTCCTGGACAAGCCTCTGCTCAGCCCTGGCCTCACAGAGGACCAGACTCGGGGGACCAGCATATCTGTAGGAGGTCCAGGGCCTAGCTGATCTCTGCCCTCCAGTGAGGTTCTTTGGATTCCTTCAGTTAATGATCTATGTGTCCAGTTAAAGATTTGCAGCTTCTGACCTGTGAACAGCTGGGGCAGGCCTGGGCTGGGCTCCCCCAGAATCAGGGGCAAGGCCTATAGGACCCAGCGGCTCCTCCCTCTCCCTCAGAATCAGCTGGAGAAATGTCACAACGCAGTGTCCCACTGCCCAAACGGAGGGCTGGTTCCTGGTTGCCCAATACGAAAAGAAGTTCTCCAGCAGGGCCTGAGCTCTTCTTCCACGATTCCTAGCCCAAAACCAAGCGCGCGGCTGGACTTCCGTTTGGCAAGTCTGAGGCTGACAGAGCGGAGATGATTGGCTGAGTTGGCCCTGCCCTATGTAGGCGTGACTGGGCCTGCGATGGGACCGCCCCACTCCTCCATGTCTTGCTCCCCGCCTGGCTTCTCTTGCCCAACCCCATGTGTGTGGCTAGGGACAGCAGTTGCCAGGAGAGGGGCCCAGACTGAGTGCATTGAGAAGTTGATCCACACAGGGGCCTACCTGGCCTGGAATATTAAGAAAACAGAGTGGCAGGGAAGGAGCAAGGAGAAGAGACTTGCAGCTGTCTGCAGCCCTGGCTCAGGGAGGCCAAAGTGCCCCTCTCCCGCTGTCCATCCCTGCCCCCATTTTTTCTGCAGTCCTAAACTTTTCTGACACAAATGGAAACAAACGTCACAAATAGCAAAAAATGCCTTTATTGTTGTAGCTTGCTGTGTGCTCTTCGGTCAAAGAAAAAATGCCACTTAAGCAGTGAACTGGCTTGACTCTCATAGTTCTGGGGACTAGGCACTGGTACAGGTGTTTACTGGGCTGGCACAGATTGGAAGGTGGTCTGCCCATCCTCAGCAGGACCCTCCAGTCCATTCTGTTCTGATTCTGGCTCGGGGTGCTCCAGGGCATTTCGGGTGTCAGCCTGCCACAGTTGTACCAGGTCCGCGGGAGTCTTTCCTGCCTAGAGGACCCAAGAGGAGATGGGTTCATGGCTCGGAATCTGTGCCAGGAGCTAGCCTCATATACACCAGTGATTCTCAATCAGGGTGACTGGCAGTATCTGTAAACATTTTGGTTGTCACATCTGGTGGTGGGTAGGTAGTACTGGCATCTGGTGGGTGCTATAAACAGCCTATAAGGCACAGAGTAGAATGATCCTGCCCAAAATGTTAGTAGTGCTAATATTGAGAAACATTTTCCTGCTTTTTCTTGAGCCAGAGGGACTCCAATGAAAAGACTGAACAAGGAGACATAGGATCCTAAAGGGATGTAAGGACCACTTGGAACCAATAGGAAGGCCAGCTGAGTCTTAGACTCTTGAGTTTCCTCTGAGGGCACAGCACAGGGATGGACGGGTGGTGTACACTGAGTACAGAATCCAGGAGGATGGCAACTTACCAGGTTCTTGCTCATCATGTCAGCCCCATGCAAGAGCAGCAGTTTGATGAGTCTGTAGCGGTTGAGCCTCACAGCATCGTGCAGAGCACTGTCCCCTTCCTAAAGCCAGTATGGTGCTCAGCATGGTCCATATGGGCACCAGGATGGGAACAGGAATGGAACAGGACATGGGCTAGAACCCTTGCTCAGGAGCCAAACAATCCTGAGGACCCCAGAGGGAAGGACCACTCACATGTGGGAGCCCTAGGGCTGCCCATATACCAGCATGGAGGGGCTGGGGAGGAGGACAGCTGGATACTCACTCTGTCTCTGGCATTGATGTCCAGGCCCAGGGATAGAAAGTGCTCCACAACCTCCTCGTGTCCTGTGCGGACAGCCACATGCAGGGGAGTGCTCAGGAGCTAAGTGGGGAGTAAGCAGAAACTACTGGGGGATCTGAACTGTGGGACGCCTAGGGAGCGCTGTCCTAGCTCCAGCTTAATACCACTCCCACCCCCTAGTCCTGTAGCCAAGGCCTGGATTCTGGAGGTGCAGGGAAGCAGTACAATTCCCCACCATTGTATCCAGTGGCCTAATTTCAGCTCATCAAACACTAGCTCCATTGGGGAGTCTTCTATGATCTCTCTCTTACCTAGCTGCAAGCCACTGCTCACTGAGCTACTTTTCTCTTATTGGAACAGATGTCATTGATGGAGAGATGACATGTGATAGGTATGGGAAAAACTCACCAAAGTTTGTAGTTTTATACTGAATGAATGAATTTATTTACATACGTTTTCTATCTAATCTACCTAAGAACTCTGCAACACAAGTACTATTTCCCCCATTTTGCAGATGAGGAACAGAGACTCATAAGCTATCTGGCCAAGGTTACACATGAAGAAATGAATGAACAGAAGGATAGTGGATAATAAGTGAACCAATGAACAGATTAACGGATGGACAACTGGATGGATGGATGAATAAAGATGATAAAGTGTTTCATGGATGACCAAATCCTGCATCCTTTGAAGGGTCCCAAAGTCCCCAAAATAATTTCTTCTCTCTCCTCTGCTTTTCCAGTCCCACCACCAGGTGGTGCCCCCCACCCCCACCCTAGGGGCTGCAGATGATGGCAAGAACCCATCCCTTGGATGGGAGGGCCCAGCAGGCCACGGTTTTAGCTTCTTTGTTCTTCAGCCTTTCTAGATATCAGACTAGCTCACTACCTTCCCGTCCCCCGCCCCTCTGCGCTTTTCTCTGTCAAACACGTGGCCCCCCCAATACCTGTGAACAGTGTCACCTCACCTTATCCCTCACATTGAGGTTTGCTCCCCGGCTTTGTAGGAGTTTCACTACCTCCAAGTGGCCCCCACGGCAGGCCCAATGCATGGCTGTGCAGTCCAGCTAGAAGGGAAGGATGGGACCCAATGGCAGAGCTGCAGGGAAGCAAGTGCCCTGGGGGACAAGGACCCCACAAAGAGGGCAAGGGCACCCAGCGGGAGGCACAGGGCACACCTACGCATGGGCAATGGACAAAGAGGTGCAGAAGGAACCTCAGGATTCATCTAATCCAAACCAGACATGTCAAAAGTGCTTAGGGAGGAGATGGGGCTTGTCAAAGAGGCAGACTGTGTCCCAGCTTGGCACACGTTTGCAGGGAGAGGGGCTGTTGGTGCTGGACTCACTTCTGCCCCCCACCCCCACCCAATACCTGCTTCTCTTGCTCACCCGGTCCTGGAAGTCCACTGTGGCCCCGTGGTCTAGAAGCTTCTCCAGGATTTCCATGTGTCCTTCCAGGGAGGCTCTGTGCAGTGCTGTCCTCCGGAACTGCCCCCAGAGACACTATCAGTATCTGGCCTCTGTCACCTGAGTGGAGGCCCTTGCCTTACCCCAGCTCAACTCTGACTTCTGTGCTGAATCCCCATGTCTGCCATGTTCTGCCCGCTACTTCCTGCTCCATCTAGAGCAGCCTTGGGACCCTCCTCTGCCCTGGAGACTCGGACCTTTGCACAGTCCTTCAAATACACCAAGCTGTGCCTTTGCAGAGGCTGCTTCACCTGGGATGCTGGAGCTGCCTTCACTCTCTTCTGTGCTTAATGAATTCCTGCTACTCCTTCAAGATGCAGCTCAAATGCCATCATCTCACCAGAATTGCTAGGCCAGAACTGTCTAAGGATCAGGAGGACTCTAGCTCTGAGGGCAGGCTAAATCTTGCTTGACTCTATTTCCCTGTGTGTCTAGCACAGGGCCTAGTTGAACAGATATACATGGATTACTGAATTGAGGAAGGAATGAACTCTCCTTTCCTAAGGCAGTTCCCTTTCTCCTAAGGACTCTGGAAACAGTTATTTTCTCTTATTCCAATTATCTGCTTATGTGTCTACTCCTGGTACTAGTTTGGATGTGGGAGTGCTTGGACAAACCAAAAGGGCTAAGTCTCTGGAGTCCAAAGAAAAGAAAAGAAAGCCTCAAGAAGTGCTGATTCATGAGGGTGAAAGAGGAAGTTTCCGAGAAAATAAAGGAAAGTGCAATGTTATATCATGAGAAACAAAAAATATATATGCTATCCTATTGGTGTTAGCTGCTGCCACACTAGCCTCTGGCTCATGATGATTCATGCACAACAGGTGTAGACCATTGTATTGTGATCCACAGGCTAATTTTAAAGAAAGGAAGTCACCAGGCCTTTCTTCCTAGTTCCCTTGGTCTTGGAAGCTCTGCTAAACCTGTTCCGCATCACAGCAACACACATGCCTCCACCAACAGATGAGTGGTAAATATGTTTGAGGGACATTGCCTGGAATTGAACCTGGGTATTTTGCATGGAAGGCCAGCATTCTACCACTGAACCACCACTAGCCCTAATATCCTATCCTAGCATGTGCTTTCATAGGTTTTTAGTTATGTAGTTAATACTTCCCAAGGTGTGGAAGAAGGCCACTTTATGGAAGAGAAAATTGAGGAACAGGGAGGTGACATGCCTAGCCTCAGATCGCACAGCTAGTGACAAGTAGAGATGGAATTTGAGTCCAAATCTTCTGGTCTCAGGCTCTTTCAATCTTATTTATTCCTTTTCCTTCCCTAACTAAACACATGACATTTGTTACTCTGGAGATGGTTCACATTGGAATGGGTCTAAGAGGGATTTAGATAAATAAATCCCTGTGTGGGAAAAGGGGCATCCCAAATTTTCCGAGGGAGCCACTCTGAAAGGCCCACAGATGGCTGACCCAGGATCTGGATGGGATAGGGGATGACGACTCTAAAAAAGAGGCAGGGACAGGGTGGGGGCATCACCTCATCACAGGTGTCGGCTGAGCCCCCATCGGCTAGGAACTTCTCAATGACTTGCATTTTCCCCTCCACTGCTGCCTTTAGGAATGTCTCCTCATCCACAGGGCCAGTCTGCAGGGCACGAGTCCAGTTAGTGAAGGATGCCCCCTCATTCCGTCTCCTGTCCTGGCAGCGGCTCTGCCTGACCATGTACATGTCCCCACCCCAGGACACTTACGATCTCCTTGGGCTCCACAGGCGGCTCCTGAGGGCCAGCCAGGGCTTCACGCTTCTTCTGCTTCCGTTTTTTCCGCAGCTCAATGAGGTTCTGGATCCCACCAACATCAATAATCTCCCGCCGGAGGTCTAGGGAGGTCTTGCGCACTCGCTCTTGGCCCTGTGTGGGAATGACCAATCAACTCCCACACAGAAGCAGGGAGTTGGAGCCCCTGAGCTATGCTTGGCAAGTTGGGGAGCAGATAGACCTTTTCAATGAGGAAAAACCTTGACCCACCCCTCCTCCCCAGGACTAGGAGAAGTCCATGAGACACAACATGGGCACACAGCAGGGATTGGGCCGCAGCATGTAGGGTGGGGAATTAAATGAGAGGATCTCCAGAGCTTTTCTTCATGCGGGTCTTCAACACAGGTGCTGGCTTCTAAGCTTTCTATAGTAATTCTATTTTGTTTTTCAAAATGAAATTAGTTTTGTGTGATCATAAAGGTAATACAAGAACACTATAAAAAATAAAGGCAAGAAGAGGGGATTTATAGCTCCAGCCCCTATGACATGTTGCTATGGAATCTTCCTTCTCACACTATTCTGGAATCTGTTGTCTTTTCTTAGCGACGTGGAGTCGTCTGTCAGTCCACACTGGTCTCTTTTGGTCCTGCTGTATGGTGGTCCCATCACTCAGGGCTTCTTAAAATTTCCCAGGCAGGTAACTCACCTGGGGTCTTGTTGGCATGTGGTTTTGATTTGGCAGCTGTGGGTGGGGCCTGAGATTCTGCCTTTTTGATGAGCCTCAGGACCACACTGCCTGGCCGGTCCCCTGAGCATGGACATTGGGTTCTCCCCCAACTCACCTTGACCTTTTGTAAAGCTAGACCATGAGCTCCTTGTTGCTTCTCATCCTCCAACACCAGCATGTTCATGGGCAGCTTTGGGTGGGTGACTCCTCGGAGTTTCTATTGAGAGAAGCAGCGGTGCCCAGGGCCTGCCCACAGTCCCTGGGGAGCAGGCCTTCCCCTTAAACACCCGGTTAAATACCCACTCCAAAGAAGTCCCAGGGGTGTCAGGCTTCAGTCTGATGCTCCCACAAACCTCCTGTGACCTCAGAGCCCTATGTCTGCCCCACTTTTGATCAGTCCTGAAGACCCCCGTGTTGTTGTTGTTGTTAAGTGCCGTGGAGTCGGTTCCGACTCATAGCGACCCTGCACAGGGTTTCCGAGGCTGTTAATCTTTACAGGAGCAGAAAGCCTCATCCTTCTCCCACGGAGCAGCTGGTAGTTTTGAACTGCTGACCTTGGGTTTCGCAACCCGACTCATAACCACTACGCTACCAGAGCTCCTTGAAGGCCCCTGTAAGGGATGCTAAAACAAGGTAAGTTCCACAGCTCCCCACCTCCATCTGGACCCACCCCAAGTTCAAATCCCTGTGCACTAGCTGTGCTGTGGGTGCCTGGTCCTAAAAAAGATGAAGGGCAACTGGAGTGCATTTTCATGAAATTAAATATATTCATTCTTTTGAGCACTAAGATTATGTTCAATTGACTTAATGAAATCATTATAAGAGGGATAGTTGTTTTTTAAATGGCCTTCCTTGGCAATATAAAATTATGGCAAGTCTGCATCAGACACCTTTTTTTTTTTCCTCCAATCTTACTGATCCTTGACATCTCAGGCTTGGAAACTGTTATTCGAAGGGAAAGGAGGGGATGGGGGCAAAAGCGCCTGAACTTTCCACATGAAATAGACTCTAGGTATGAACGCTCTCCTCCCTGTAATCACATGGATTATGCTCCTTCCAAATCCCTGTCTGTCAGTAGTTCTGACTTTCCTGGACTCCTTCCTGGTGGCCTGCTCTCCTCTAAAGGAAGCGGCTCCTTGTGAAGAGCCCAACTCTCCTGTCCCTATGCAGGGGGGGTTGGGGGGGGACTGGGAGGGAGCTGAGTCAAGACAGCAGTGGGGAGGGATGGCTTAGCTGTCTCTCATTTCTCCCTAACCTCTGCTGGTGAGTACAGCTCACTTCCCAGGTCTTCATTTTGAATGTCCTGCTGTCCACTGCCTTCTCTTATCTATGTCTGGCTTACACGTGTGGCCTCCCCTGAAACACTGCACCTTCTTCCAGGGACAGAGAATGATCTGGGGCTCAACTACTGCAGCATGTGGGACCCTAATGGAGCTACTCATGGACTATCTAGAGGGTGGGCCTGTGTCTTGATATTGCAGCACCTAGGATAGGCCTCACATACAGGTGCTCAGTGAGTGAGTGGTGAGTGAATGAAGACAGTGAATGGGTGATGGCAGGTAAGCCAAGCCTCCTTACATGCTCAGGATGAACTAACTCAGTAAATGCTCCACAACAGAGTCCCAGCTCTGCGCCTGCCTCCAGGCAGGGCCTTCCTCCTCTCCTCCCAGAGTCCTGCTGGGCTGGGGCCTGGTGAGAACAACTGGGTGCTCTGATACCCACTCACATCTTATATAACCTCTTGCTTCAGATTTGTATTTGTGGGCTCTATAAAATGCTTGAATTGAATACTATTCATCAAAACAAGCAGAAGAAAACTCCCACCTTAACTTCATAGATTGTTGTTCATACTAAACGAGGCAATGACTGTAAAAGGCTTAGCCCATTTCCTGGCACACTGTAGGTAGTTGATGGGAGACTGACTGACTTGGTGAGCAGTTGCACCCCAGAGCCCTGCAGCTATATCTGTTGGGTGAATGAATGGATGAAGACTGCCCAGGTCCTCTTGCTGAAAGTTCCATGTGCTGTGGCAGCACTCCAGACGAGGCCCGGCAGTATGACTCACCTGCCTGACATGCCAGCTCCTGACATGCCTGACAGGCCCATGGGGAGGGAGAGAGGATTCCTGGAGAGCCAGAGATGCCTCCACCAGACCCTTTCTGACAAACCTGCCCTCCCTCTCCAGTCCTCTCTCTTCTGCTCTGGAGTTCTCTAATTCTTACCTCTTCACCACCCCATCAGTTCTGGTTCTTTTTTGAATGGAGTCTCCCTGTAGATTGATCTGCTCCCTCCATTCTGTTAAGACCAGTCTTTCCCTCTAAAACAGGTAAGATGACTCTCCCTCTCTCAACAACATTTAGTGGCTCCCTACTGCCCACAGACTTGTATCTTTTTTACATGGCCCTCTGATTTGTACCTGCCTCAGTCTTTGCTCCTGACTCCTGGTGTGGCGCTGTGGGTTAATGCGCCAGACTGCAAAGCCAATTGAACTGCAAGGTCGGCAGTTCAAGCTCACCAGCTGCTCCTTGGAAACCCTATACAGGGTCACTATGGGTCGGAACTGACTCGATGGCACTTAACAACAACAGTCTTTGCTCCAGACTTTCTTGTTCGAGCTACACTTTCTCTCCCTAGAACTTTGTTGTTCACTTAGCCTGAAAATCTTCCCCGCGTCTGATCTGTGCCATCCTCAAAGGCCCAGCTGAAATACCCTCCTGCTCGAGGGCTTGCAGTTGGGATGATTTCCCCACCCTGTGCCCTCCACTTTGACTTAACACCTCTGTCTAACCATTTCTCCACTCAGCCTAGTTTCCAAGTTGCCTCCGTATCTGGCAAAATGCTGGCTCGCAGCACCCTCGGCAGAGTAGACACAGAGAGAATATTCATTTAATAGAATGAAAAGAATCAGAACTAGCACTCAGGTTCCCCAGGTTCCCCACTCTCTATCCTGGGGCCCCGGGCTATGGCCAGTGGTCTGGGAATAATCCTTGCTACTTTTGCAAGCACCCCATTGCCATGCCTCTGTTCCCTGTCTGTACAAGGGGCTTCAAAAACTCGTGTATATGCTGATGACTGGAGGGCAGTCTTGGAGGGTATACCCTTTGGTTGGTTGATGATGCATGGAGGGGATTGTAACCATGGAAATCAAATGATATACAACAGGATAAATGTAAAGCTAATGTTCTACCATGTAAACTATCACATAATTTACAATAAAACATTTAAAAAAAAGCTCTTGGGAAAATGGACTAGAAAGATAATGGGATTTTCCCTCGTATTCCTCCTCAGTGGCCAAAGCACTGCTGTCTCTCCCATTCTTGCCTCCCATGCAGCAGCTGGGGGATCTCTGAGTCCAGCACCAGCTGTTCCATCCTGTGGTGCCCAGCTGGGTTCCCTCAGTTCTTGGAGCTGTAGCCTTGGAGCACCCTGGGGCAGGAATGGGGAACCTGTCCTACCCCCCCAACTCCCCCCATCCCCACCACACCTCGTTCTCCTCCTCCTGAGCCAGCCGCTGCTCGATGAGTGCCGTGGCCCTCTGCACCACTTCGGAGTCTGCCATGATACCGTCCACACGTCGCCTCTGTGGCCTGCATTGTTGCGGGGGCTTTATAGGACTGAGCACCCACCCCCACCCAGCCAGGTGCCTTTGCTATGAGCTCACTGGCCCAATTCTCCACCTGCCTCTCCCACCTGTCACCTTCACCCCGGGCAGCCCCAGGAAGTCAGGAGGGCCAGGCTGGGGAGCAGAGACAGCTGCCCCCACCACCCATGGCCTATTGGAGCAGAGGGCACAGTACCCCAAGAGCAGAGACTGCGGGAAGAAGCCTGCTCAGCTGCCTGTAGGGCCAACTGGACCTCCACCAGGGCCCTGGGCTGCACAAGGGCCCATGGCTGAGATGGCAGTGCCACCTGCTGGGCGCCTGAACACTCTGACCAGCAAGTGCCAGGGAGAGGCCCTGAGAGCAGACTGGCACCCAGGCTGTCTTTCAGACAGGACCTGCTGGTTTTAGGGCTGGCCAACTCTGCCATGCCTAGATTGGGGTGCCTGGGCAGCACATGGGAGCAAGGGCAGCTGGTTCTGGTGTTTCTGGATTCCACAACACTCTTAAACACTGGACTGTGAACTACAGGGTCTGTGGTTCAAGCACACCAGCTGCTCCAAGGGAGAAAGATGAGGCTTTCGGCTCCGGCACAGATTTTTGAAAGCCTCAGAAACCCTATACAGGGCTGCTAGGAGCCGGGTTGGGCTCCACGGCACTCCCTAGTGGAGTGTCTCTGCTTTTGAGTAGATTCCAACTCAGAGCGACCCTGTGACAGTGGGGAGCTGCCCCATAGGGGAGCAGATTGACAGGTCTTTTAACCCAGGGAGCCTCTGTTGGGTTTGAACTGCTGACCTTTAGGTTAGCAGTTGAGTGCTAAACCATTATGCCATCAGGACAGCGTCAAGCCCAGCTCTGTGGAACAGCAGCAGATGGCGTTTCCCATCAAAGTGCCAGGCTACCCTGACAGGGGCCGGCCAAGCTCACTGAGGAAGTAAAACACTGCAAACCAGAGGAAAAGCAGGCCTTTGTTTGCTTGGCTGTATACCTGTAACTTCTAGGTGTGGGTAAGCCTTGGGTCACTGTGACCCATCTTTACCTGAGACACTGTGGCTCCAGGTTCTATAAAGCGCGGTTGCCCATTCTCATAGAAACAATCTTATCTCAGACGCCTCTTTTTATGAACACATTCCTTTTTGGGAAGCATGCAGAAATGGTTCCTTTCTCTCTCTGTTTCCCTTGCTGGCAAGTCTGACCTAAAACACTGACCCACGCTCATAATCTACATGTCAGAGTGTTTGCTTTGATATCACCAAGGACACACAGAGTTTCCCAAGTTTCCACACATACTCAGTTCTCCTGCTGCAGGGGCAGACCAGCAGGTAACTAATGCCACGGTCCTGAGGTGCTGCCTTTGCTTTCAAGGCACTTCCACATCTGTTATCTAATCCCCCCAGCAACTGAGGGAGAAAGCAGTGTGGGCGTCATCTCCAGTTTAAAGATCAGCAAGGTCGGTTCAGAGGTTAACCCACTCCCGCACCAGATCTACTCCTGGAAAAGGGATCCTGGCTCCAGGGGTATCCCAAAGCTGTAGGCGAACCCAAAGTCAAGTGCCAGACGAAAGAGAAGGAGCAAAAGGCTTTATTGATAAATATGCAGACAATGTCTGTTCACAGGGATCTGCTGTGGGGCCACAACTAGGCTGTAGACCCCGCCACCATCTGGGCCACAGCCAGAGATGGCTCTGTGCAGACCCCTGCCATAACAACCCAGCTGTCCGGCCACTGCCTCATCTCTGCCAATTGTGCTGGGGCAGGGAGAGGCAGAGGCCCGCCTCTGACTCCCCATACCCTGGGACCCACTGGTGGTCCCCTCCCCTCCAGGGGACTGGCACTGTGGCCAGGGCAGAATCAGGAGGTGGGGGCTGGGGCAGGAGACCTGAGCAGAAAACCGGAGTGAGCGCAGCTGGCAGCACCAGATGACAGGTCTGGGCTTTGGGGGCCTCCAGGTCGGCCCTCATGGCTCGAACCTGCCTCGGGAGATGGGCAGGGCAGTGGGGAGGAGGGAGGACCCCGGTTTGCCTTTTCTCTGACGAGGTTGGCAAGGCCTGTGTATGGCACATGCCCCGGGAAGGCAGGGTTGCTTCCTGGCTGGCTTGCCCAGCAGCCATCCGGTGGGGAGGCGCCCCACAAGAACAGAACAGTCCCGGAAGGCGCAGCAGGGTGGGGGACTAGTGCTCCAGGTGGGAGGCCCTCTTCAGCCTCTCTTCCTGTCAGTCCTGGGGCGGCGGGGGCTGGTTGATGATGACCTGGATGACAAAATCTTTCTGGATCTTGGTTTCCTGGAGCCGCATGCGGTCTGTGAGCAGCTTCCCGGAGAAGAACCATCGTTGCCAGGACGGCTCGATGCCCTCCTGGGCGTGCAGCTGCCTCTTGAGCTGACCCACTGTGTCAGGCAGGCTGGCGCTGAGCCTCACGTCCTTGCCGGTAGAGAGGCGCACCTTGAGTGGGAACTCGCGGCGTACACTGGGAGTGGGCTCGGGGGGCTCCACACTCTCCTCCTCTGTGTGCTCCAGCAGCAGGTTCACGGGTGGTGACAGACAGTAAATGGGCAGCTGATAGCGATTGCCCAACTCGTCATAACATTCACAGAGGGTGCCTGTGGGAGAGGCAGGGTGATCAGAGTTTGCTAGGAGCCCGCCACAGCCAGCCGACAGTCCCTAAACCCACCACATCCTCAGAACTCTGAGGGACCAACTCCTGACTAAAGGAGCAGAGACTGACCTGGGGTGCATCCCGGCTCCCCCGGAACTGGCTTGTCTAAACCCAGCAAATCATTTCACTTTCAGTGACTCTTCCCTCGGTATCTGTGCTGGGGGCTGGGGGCGTGAGGGTGGGTGAAACGGCACGGGCCCTTAGTGGTTTAAGCTCTTGTTACAGGCTACTGTGGGGTTGGATCCTGACACATGCAGAGGCCGTTGAGTCGATTTCAAATCCTGGAGACCCCGTGTGTGCAGAGCAGCGCTGTGCTCCACAGGCTTTCAAGGCTGTGACCTTTCGGAAGCAGATGACCAGGCCTTTCTTCCTTGGAGCCGCTAGGTGGTTTAAGCCAACCTTTTGGACAGTAGTCTAGCACTATGTGATGCCCAAGGGCTCCAACCCTGCCCTGCTGCTGTTGTTAAATGCCCTGGAGACGGTTCTGACTCACAGTGACCCTGTGTAGGGTTTCTGAGGAGCAATAGGTAGGTTTGAACTGCTGACCTCGTGGTTTGCGGTCCAATACTGATCCTACAGCGCCACACCAGGAGTCCCAACCCCACCCTGGTGGGTCTCAATTTCCTTCCTTGTCCAATGTATTTTTTCAGTGTGGGGCACTGGACACTGTGAGGCGTGTCCTGACGGAACCTGACAACCCTCCTATGAGGGAGCAATTCTCACTGCACAGCAGAAGCTCCTTGTTGCAGGTCACACAGTTAGGAAACAGATGCTCAGGTTTAAACCTTGGTCTTGCCTCTGGAGTTCCAGTCTTAGCCCCACCTCTACACAGCCCAGAAGGCTGTTAGGAACATACACGAGATCCTGCGATGGAAGCTTCTAGCTCACTGCCAGTCTAGATGATACACTTAATACAAGCTTGGTACCCCAGGTATTCTGGGATCCCAAAGCACTGAAGCAGTCTCTAGTAGCAGGCTCCTGGTGTGCTTTCTCTCCCCTCCCTGGGTAGCCAGGACTGTCTCGATTTCTTTTCATCCCTACTTCCGGTTCATGCTTGAACAAACATGCAAATAGCCACACACACCGACACGGGTTGTCATTGACTGACTCGGAGCAACCTCATAGGGCAGAGTACACCTGCCTCATTGAGTCTGGAAGACTGCAACCCTTTATAAGAAACACATTGTCACATCTTTCTCCTGAAGGGCAGCTGGTGGGTTCAAACTGCTGACCTTTTGGTTAGCAGGTAAGTATTTAACCATTGTACTGCCAAGGCTCCTCACACACACCTGCCCACCCCCATCCAAAAGCTGGCCACTGGCTTTTCTCCACCCCTGAATGGCCCCAATGGCCCCCTAGCTCCAGTAAGAACAAAGTCCCACCCTGTCCGCTTACCATGAGGCAGGGTGATGCTGGCTCCGTCCAGGATAGCTTGTGCTAGTTCATGGTCGTTGGCCTCGGCTGCATAGGCGGCAGCCTTGAGGGCATCCCAGATCTCCTTTCGGCCCTCAAAGGCAGGTGCTGTGTCCCAGAATTCATCCCGTTTGCTCCGCAACTGCCCGTCCGTCATAGGGTAATCGCTCTTCCACTTCAGCCGCTCCTTCTTCAGGGGCTCATTGCGTCCTGGGCAGGACAGAGAGAGAAGCAGCTCAGCATCTCCACAGTTACTCAGGTCACACAGTTAGGAAACAGATGCTGGCCTCTACTCAGCCCCTCACCTCCCAGCCAGAGCCTGAGTTACTCAGGGCTGCGGCCTGGCCTCTACTCAGCCCCTCGCCTCCCAGCCAGAGCCTGAGTTACTCAGGGCTGCGGCCTGGCCTCTGCTCAGCCCCTCACCTCCCAGCCAGAGCCTGAGTTACTCAGGGCTGCGGCCTGGCCTCTACTCAGCCCCTCATCTCCCAGCCAGAGCCTGACCTGCTTGGCACCCTGTACACTGGGGCTCCCAAGGATTCAGCTCTCTGAGACCCTTCCTTGGAGTCCAGAAGGACTGTGGAAACGCCACAAACTCAACCTTTTGTCAGTGGAGTGTGTACTGACTTTTTGTTTTTAGTTTTAATGTTGTTGTGCCTTTGTTAGTAACATAGTACATGTTCAAAGTAAGAAAATCTGATGGAAATTAATGCCACTGAATTGAATACTTACAGATGCTTCAAATGGAAACTGTTATACATACACACACATACAGTGCCACAATATAATAAATTTTGAACATAGAAAGTGTAAATGTGTAAAATATACCACCATTTAGGAAGCCTGCTTGCGGCAGACCAAAGGCTAGGTACTTTAGACTCTTGACTCATTTAACCCAACAGATGGGGAAGCTGAGGCCCAGAGCATGCCATTTGTGTTTATGACTTCACAACCCACGTTATGACATGTTTGTGCACACCGCCAAAAAAAACCAATAATTACTCCGAAGTCCACCATTCAAAGTCCCATGACGAACACCTCACCAGATTTCCTTCCAGGTACCCATCCTCCATTTTTTTCAATATAGTTGAGTTTCATAGTATTACACTAATTTCTTTATATTCTTTATTCCAGAAAGGACTTAAGGTGTTTTCATGCCACTATACAACTTCCTGCGTATTTCACTTATATTATAGTCGAAACCCCATGCAATTAATGTTCCATCATTCACATAGCATTTCAAAGGGTATTTTAAAAGAACATAGCAAATAAACCAAACCAAAAATGCCCTTAGCATCTAAAGGAAACAAACAATTCTATCAAATGTCATTTTTCTTGCAGCCCAGCCCTAAGTAATGGCCAAGACAATTCTGGATCACAGTCAAGTTGGAAGACAGAGGCCTTGTCCAAGGGGCTTTGGGCGGCTTAGTCATCTCAAAGAGGAAAGCAGAGTGATCCACAGGAGTGAGGTCTTCAGCACTTAGTTCCCTTTAGAACTCACATTCTACCTAAGGCAGCAGTGAGACGGGAAGCTAGAGCTAGGCCACCACCAAGCTACTAGCTACCGGCTACTCAGGGGAGTGAATGACATTCACAACCCCAAAACTGTAAGAGGACCCCACAGAAGTACTTTACTGACATGCTGCTGAGTCCGGACTCTGTCTCCTGGTGACCCTCCACACAACAGAATGAAATACTGTCTAGTCTCATACCATCCCAAAACCACTTGTGGACCACATCATTGTGGTTCTCACTGGCTGATTTTTGAAAGTAGATCTCCAGGTCTTTCTTCCTAGTCTCTCTTAGTCTGGAAGCTCTGCTGAGCATTTTCAGCAATGTGAAAGCTTCAACTACAGTGCACCACATGAGGTGCACTGGCTGGGAGTTGAACTGGGGTCTTCCATGTGGAAGGTGAGAATTCCACCATGGAACCACCAGTTCCTCATTTAATTTATATGTTGTTGTTATTGTTAAGTGCTGTCGAGTCAGTTCTGACCCATAGCGACCCTGTATAGGGTTTCCAAAGAGTAAATGGTGAGCTTGAACCTCTGACCTTACAGTTCAAAAGGCTTTGCAATCTGACACATTAACCCTTATATACATTATCCCATTTCATCATGGCAATAGCCTTAGGGGGTTGTTGTTGTAATGACTCTGTATAGGGTTTCTCAGGAATGGCTAGGGAGTTGGAACCACCAACCTTGCAGTTCAAATGGACCTTGCTTATCCTAAAGTGCCACACCACGACTTAGAGGGTGAGTACTATTAACCCTATTTCACAGACAATGGGACAGGTACAGAGACGCCAAACGCTTTGCCTCTGGTCATACAGGGAATGACAATGAGAGTTTTAGCTCAGCTCTGACTGAAATCACTGACAGAACACTGGTATGGGCAGGCAAAGTTCAAGCCAAACATTTCATTTAAAGCATTCCTGGGTTGGCAGAAGCAAATGCAAATCAGCTTTGGAGGAAAACAACTCCAAACTAGGCCTCAAGGAATTTTCAAGCTAAATGTGCCAAGGAAATGAAATTAATAAGGTCATAGTTAAAAAAAAAAAAAAAAAATCAAACCACAACACACAAGGAAATAAGACACTATGAGCCAGAGCCAGCAAAACAGCAAACGGAAGAATCAGACTCAAAGATGTCAGATCAGGGACTGAGCAGATACAGATTGTGACAGAATGTTTCTAGACTCGCAGAAATCAGAGAGTCTAGAAAACATGAACAAGATAAGAACAACAAAGCAGATTTTTAAAAAAGGACCATATAGGATTTCTAAAAAGGAAAAGCAATTCCTGAAATCGAGATGATCTACATATGGGGTCAGAATCAATTCTACGGTAAATAACAACAACAATAATTTATAGTTAATCAGAATTTCCAGAAGGATACAGTAGAAAGAACAAAGTGAAGTAATAATGGAAGAGATCATAAAAATGCCCATTTCCCTCAAACTAACCTATAAATGCAGTGTAATTCCAATAAAGTTCTTAACTAGGAGTTTTATTATAAGGAACTTGGCAAGCTGACTCTAAAATTTATAGACAAGAACAAAGATATTCCTAAAGACAACTAAGGTGGGAGAACTTGCACGGCCAGTTACCAACACAAATTATACAAGTATAGTACCAGAACCACCAAATCAGTGCTGTTGAATATAACTCCTGGCTACCCCATGGTGTGTCAGCGTAGACGGGGCTCCATAGGCTTTTTAATGCCTGAGTTTTAGAAACGGACTGCCAGGTCTTTCCTTCTGAGGCACTTCTGAATGGACTCGAAACTCCAACTTTTCTTTTAGCAGCCCAGGGTGGTAACCATTTTCACCGCTCAGGGTCATGGCCAATGGAATAACATGTTGTTGTTGTTAAATTGCCATTGAACCGGTTCCAATTTACAGCGACCCTTGCAGTTCAAACAACCTCATAGTCCAGTACTTATAGCACTAAACTCAGACCAAGGAAACTTTACAAGAAAGGGAATATTGCAAATGTATTTGATAAATGGTGTTGGTCAGAACTGCAAGTTTCCATATAGTAAAACAGGAAAAGAATACCTACCTCACACTAGCCAGAAAAATCAAAACCAGCTGGATCAAAGACGTAAGTGTAGAAGACAGTACGGAGGCATGGAGAATGACGACAGGTTTGCCCCATGTGCTTTATTACAGAAGTTTGGCTTAGGGGTGTTTTGCCTTGATCAAGGAAGCCGCTCTGCTTCATGGTTTCTGAGTCCTTTTCTCTTTGATCCCTTCATTGTTGATTCCCTGTAAGAGCTCTCTCACATCGGCATTCACAGTCATTGTGGAGCAACATTCTCAGGGTCCACTGAGCTGTAGGACTTTGGCCCATCTGCTTAATGACCCGAGATAGTACACTCTGTAACTTCTTGTCTTGCTGTACCCCACCACCTATGTGCTGCTCTTGGCATGAGAAGTCAGGTCCTGCTAAATGGGCCACTTCTCATCTGCCGAGTGTTGAGAAAAAAAGGCATGATAAACTGAGAGCATTAGGTTCTAAGAAAGAAGAAAAATGAGTCCAGGTGTGGTGTTGTTGATAAGCACTGGACTGAAAAGATCAGTTTGAATCACAAGGTTGGCAGTTCAAACTCACCAACTGCTCCTTAGGAAACCCTATGAATCGGAACCAACTTAACGGCACTTCACAACAGCAACAAATAAGAAAGAGACTGTGTTGGGTCATCTCTATTTCCTGCTTCTCCCCTTTTTCAACCCCCAGGTTTTGGCTCTGAGGTGGCTGGACTGGCGACCTAGGGACACTTGAACTGTGATTGTGTTCAGGCTTCCGGTTCTCTCCAGGCAGGACCAAGGAACTGATTTTTAGATACATACAGCCCTAAAGTGTCACCTTTCAAAGCCATCACCTGAGGAATGCATCCTTTGCTGACTCATCTCTGGATTCCTCATGAATGAGGCACCTCACCTCCACACCCACAACTGTTGGGCACACACTCCTCACCTACAGATGGGCACAAGCACAAACGCATTGCATCTGCTGTGACCCAGAATACAAATGGATTTTTAAAATCCTCATCCTCTACACAGGGTCTTGTGGGCTGAAAATATGAGAATGGAGTGGTGGTGGAGGGAATGGGAGTTGGGGCCGGGTGGGGAAGTTAAGAAAACAGGAAAACAGCAGCAAGAGCCTAACTGGTATCTTGCAACTAATTGCCTCTCGGAGCCAGCAGGGGGCAGCAGTAGCACCTCTGCTCTGGGTGTGTGTGTAGGTCCCTTCATCAGTGAGTCAAATACAGCATAAAAACATCAGAGACAGTTCTCCAGTAAGTATAAGACACAAGCTAATGTGTAGCGCTGTGGACTAATGTGTCAGATTGCAAAGTCATTTGAACTGCAAGGTTGGTGGTTCAAGCTCACCAGCTGCTCCTTGGAAACTCTATACAGGGCCGCTATGGGTTGGAATCAACTCAATGGCACTTAACAACAACAATGTATCTAGAGCCCTACACACTGGTGCTTATGTGGCATAGATACAGAGAATCATAAAGGGAAGCTTTTAATTCAAGCATATAAGAAAACTGACACTGAATATTTTTATTTCATTTGCATTTAAAAATAAAGAGTTCTATATGGATTCTGGTAGCGTAGTGGTTACGAATCGGGCTGCGAACCTTAAGATCAGCGGTTCGAAACTACCAGCCACTCCGCGGGAGAAAGATGAGGCTTTCTACTCC